TACATAGCTTTATTTTAGGTAACAAGTTGAAGTTATTCTTCTTGCAATGCATAATTTCTCTATTTAATCTTTTTAAAATTTCATCTCTTCAGTTCATTTTTGTGGGAGGTCTATGATGGACAACTGTTTATAAAGCTAAAAAATGGTGTTTTTTTGCCTATCATGGATCCTTGGGTATGGTAAATTTTCTTGATTTTTATTGACATTTATTTAATTGGGATTTATGTTGTTCTTTACATTGTTAAAATAGGCTATTATGACTATTTTCTGTGTTGGACGTCCAGGAGTATTTATGTAATTTTCCTATCTTATTTGACAAAGTATAAATTAGAATGAAAAGGGCTGATCACCCATTCTTATTTGACAAAGTATAAATTTGAACAGCCTGATGCATTATGGAGAAGGATTATTCTAGCTAAGTATGGAGCAGATGTGTCATCTTGGGAGCCAACTGAGACTAGAATGTCTTATGGGTGTGCTGTATGGAGAGGAATTCAGAAAAGGAATCAGATACAATGTGGGAGGTGGCACAAGAATCAAATTCTAGACTGATATTTGGTGTGGGGATCAACGTCTTTATCAAAGCTTTTCCAATCTTTATGAAATTGCTCAAAACAAAGACTGCATGGTTGCAGAGGCTTTTGCTTGGGTAGGAGATACTGCAATTTGTTGTCCAATGTTCATAAGGAATTTAAATGATTGGGAGGTTGGGCAGTGGATGGAGTTGATGCAATAGCTATCTGGTATAACTCCTAGCTCTACAGATAGAGAGAGGAGAATTTGGAAGTGGGATAAAGAAGGATTTTTCACAGTAAGGTCCTTCTATAACAAACTCACGAAGGTGGAGGTGGTGGATTTCCCAGAAGCTGGTGTATGGAAATCCGCAGCTTAAACTCTGGTTTAGAACAGGAAAGATCCTGTAAATAAATCTGATGATACAAAACCAAAATCACTAAGGAGGGAAAAAGACATTTAGATACTATAAACAGTTTTTAGACAACCATCTAAAAAAGTCAATTAATCTAGGTAGGATAATCATAATGATTACCAGCTACATTGCTACAGTACCGCATTAATATAGAAAATTCCTTTTTATATCAGCTAATATAAATCCAGATTAAACCAAGTTATCAACAAAAATCAAACTAATGGGCTAAAAGAAAAGGCAACTTCCAATTCAAAAATATGCATTTCAACACCATACATTGTTTCTAAATGAAAAGATCACAGGTTTGAGTTAGGATAACTGCAGTAAGTACCAACTGCATCATTAAGAGTACCACACCATCCAAGAAAAGATCTCTATATTAACCAACTAAAGGGGTAAAAGAAAAGAGAGATTCTAAGTGAAAAAAATGCAACCAAACATCATAGTTTTTAAGTACCAAGTTACTAGGTTTAAGGTAGGATAACAGAAGCAAGTACCAATTGCATCATGGAGTACCACATCAATGTATTCCCCACATTAAACTAACAAAAGTAGTAAAAAGTTTAAAGAAAAATGAGTTTCAATTCAAAAATACGCAACTAAACATCAAATATAGTTTATAAGCAGGAAACTAATAGCCCTCAGTTTGTACAATTAGCAAAGGATTAAGTTTCATAATTCAAACAGGTTGGAAAGACTCTTCCAAATACCATCCTGTGAATTGGGATCATATTCGTAAATCTCAGTCCAAAGGTAGTTTGGGAATAAGACATATAAAGTCTTTCAACTTTGCTTTACTAGGAAGTTGGCTTTGGAGGTTCTCTGTTGAACCAGATAACCTTTGGGAGGCTGGATTACTGCCATTGACTTATGGTTGTGGTGTTTGGAAAGGAATCTGTTAAGTTTCCACACATTTTAGAAGGTGCATTGGCTACAAAATTGGATATGGTATAAGACTCAGATTCTGATTAGACCCCTGGATTAGGGATCACACTCTTATAGAGTTGTTTCTAGCCTTGTATAATGTAGCAACAGGCAGGGAATTCTTTGTAGCTGATTCTTTTTTGCTGACTGACAATTGCATTTGTTGGACTCCTTTTAAAAGGGGCTTTAATGATTGGGAGCTTCAGATAATAATAGACCTCCTTGTTTTGCTACAAAACCAACATTTAAATATACAAACACAGGGTACAAGCAAAGAAACAATAGGATTTTTGAGCACAAAGCTTATCTGAAGCCGAGGTCATCAATTTTGCTATAGGGGTTATTAGAAGTTGGTTGTGTATACATACTGTGTTTAAAGATGATACTTTTAATAGTACTTTTTTGAGGATTATCTTTTCTTTGAGGTCATTCTTTAGCAACTTCTCATTGTCCAAAGGACTTGTTTTGCTTTAATACAATTATACTTTACCTTTTCTTTAAAAAAAAAAATATTAAAAGCATATCAACATATGATTCATATCCTATTTGGTTTTCTTAAGAACAAGTTTTTTGTCATCTTAACCCTTCAAAACACAAAAAATACATTAATGAGCATGTCAACATTTTGAAATCATGTCCTTTTATCATTTATGTGATGATGAAAGCATTCACATATGAATAAATATTAATTAGGTAAGAGAAATGTTGTTCATCCATGATACCCATATTCTTATACAAGAGTGCCTTTATGTCAGATACTTCAATGTTTATGTGTAAATCCATATTTGACACCTTGCCTAATGGTTGCCTAATGGTTCATCCATGACACCTTTATGCTAGATGCAACATTTACTTCATCTTTTTCTCAAAAAGAAAAAAAATAAATAAAGAAAAAATATATCAACTAGAGCACTAGTAGATGTAGGTTTTTTCCTTGTTGGGTTATTCCTTATCACCCTGTTGTAATTTCCTTTTCCTTTCTCTCTAATAAAGTTTTACTTTTTATTTATCTTAAAAAAAAGAGCACTAGTAGATGTAGGTATACATTTTAATGTGATAGTTAGCCTATGTTTAGAAAATACATGGAGGGGGGGCTTGATATAGGAAAGGTGAAAGATAAGAACACTGCTTTCTTGTATAAATGGCTTTGGAGATTCTCTTTGGGTCCTCAATCCTTTGTGGTGTCCATGAAAATACCTTGATTTCCATTCCTAATAGTATCAGATCTACATTGCATTTATCTTGTTCTAGTCCTACTTATTTTAAAACCTCTTGTTTTTAAGGTATTTGTCCATTTATCTTATTTTGCACTTAATCCTTCTTTAGTTTTTTCAATTAATACTACACCATCAGCAAATAACATACACTGCAGTAGCTCCTGAATATGTTTAGTCAATTCATTAATGAGTAGAGCAAATAAATAATGGCTAAGTGCTGAACCTAATTGAAGTTCCATTGCAACTAAAAATTCTATCCCAAGTCACTGATCTGATGTTTCACAGTAACTAAATTGATAGTTTCTAATCATTGTTTTGTCAAATCTAAACCCTATAATATAGAGGCCAATTTGAAGCATGCTATTCTTGTTCAGGCTTTTTTCAAAACCTAAGCTCACCTTTTTGTTCACAAAAGCTGGTGTTTGTTTTATGTGTATGCAGGATGATGATGATGATGACTGGTTTCCCGAGGATATTCATGAAGCACTCAAGGTGATGCATGAAAGAAAGATCTTTGATGTACATGACATATGTATACCATTGCTGATGCTTGGGGTTGGACATGGGAGAGAGAACTAAAGAAAAGACCCCCTCGAAGATGGTCACAAGAATGGGAAGTTGAGTTGGCATGCATGCTCTTATCCTCTTTTGCCGGGTGCTTTATATTTCTCCAACTGCATAGATATACTCTGTTTTTGGTTTATATTTTATTCTCTATTACTTTTCTTATTCAATGTTCTTCATGATTTATCTTGCTTATTTTCCCATTATGTGGTTCTCCAAAACTTGTATTTGTTTTCCTTTTTTTTAATTCATCTCTCAAAATCAAACCTTATTAATGGCCTTATATTTGTTTACAAATTTTTATATTTCAAAATCCCCCCTTATCCATGGTCTAAATAGGAAGAAAATTAGTGGCTTTATATCTTAACATATTATACTGACCCTTCTACTGCTCTACCACAAACTTGAATGTAAATTTTCTTTATTATCAAAAAAATTAACCACAATGAAATGTACTAAGCTTGATTATTCAAAAAAATTAACAACAAAGCTTGACCCATTTGTCGTTCTTTAGTTGGGCTTGACCCATTTGTATGTAAAGCTTGATTCAAGAAACTACTAATAAATACAAAGCATTAAACAAAAAATGAAAACAAAAAACACAAATCTATAAAACACAATAGATCTAACAGCAACCCCTTGGGTTGCCTGAGATAACCTGAAACACAATAAAAAATGAAAAAAAAAACAGATATGATCAGTTCGAGCATTACCAGATCTAATGGCAACTCTTAAACTAAATACAAATTGAGAAGATGACGAATGTATTTGAGAACAAATCTACAATAGACTTAGAAAAAACACAGATCTAGAAAACACAACATATCTAGAAATGTGTAGATACCAGATGATAGATTTGGACAGAGATGGCGCCGATGAGAAGATCGCCAGAGATGATGCCGGTGAGAAGATGGTTGGACGGCGGCTGAGAAAAATGCGAACGGAAATCTCGTGAGGAGCTCATTCATGAAAATAGGTAAAAATGGTACATAAAAGAACGAAAATCATGGGAGAAACTCATTATAGCAGTTCATTCAAAACAAACGTGTCCCAAACCAAACGGACCATTAATGTTCTCCATTAAATATTTCAAAACCGCTGTTTTTATTCCCTTTTACCTAACTTCAGATGAGAAGACAATTAACAATATAAAAAGGATAGCTTGGACATATAAAAAACTTTAAACTGTTGGATGATTTCTTTTTGAAATTAACACAGAACATTAACACAAGGGTCTTTATAATTTACCCTTATTAAAAATAGTAAGGATACTGAAACGTTTCATAGGATATAGTTAGTTAATTTACACAGCCACTCCTACTTCTAGTCACGTGGATGGTTCTCCATGCGTCATCCTGGATCTCGATAAAATTTATCCAAAACTACCAAAACCATATCAATTCTTCCATCACTAAGGCAACAGTAGCAGTAGCAGCAGCAGTAGAAGGAAGGAGAAGAAGAACATGCTTCTTCTGCCCCCACTTCCTCCCACTCGCTTCCCTTCGATTAACGTCTTCTCCCCAAATTTGCGTCATCACCACTTTTTTCCGTTACCACCAATCACGCTCTTCACTACAGCAGTCACAAGCGCCACCACCATCGCTACCACTTCCTCTTCACTAGACAATTGCAATTCTCTTCACAACCGTCGCTACGATTTCGATCCTCTCATTCGATTCCTCTCATCCACTACCGCTTACTCTACCACCTCCGACACCGACTCCGATTCCGATACCGATTCTCCCACCTCTCTCGACCCTATCGAACTCCGCCTCGCCGAGTCCTACCGCGCTGTCCCAGCCCCACTTTGGCACTCCCTCCTAAAATCTCTGTGTTCTTCTCCTTCCACTCTCGAAACCGCCTACGCCCTTGTCTCATGGCTTCAGAGACATAACCTTTGCTTCTCGTACGAGCTATTATACTCTATTCTCATTCACGCCCTCGGCCGCTCCGACAAGCTCTACGAGGCATTCTTGCTCTCTCAACGCCAGATCTTAACTCCTCTAACCTATAACGCCCTTATTGGCGCATGTGCCCGCAATGACGACCTTGAGAAAGCCCTGAATTTGATGTCTCGGATGCGTCGCGACGGCTACCAGTCCGATTTCGTCAATTACAGCCTCATAATCCAGTCACTTACTCGCACTAACAAGGTGGACTCGTCGGTATTGCAGAAGCTATATGGGGAGATGGAGACAGATAAGATTGAGCTCGATGGGCAGCTTCTGAACGACCTCATTGTGGCATTCGCTAAGGCTGGGGACCCAGACCGGGCAATGTTCTTCCTAGCCATGGTTCAAGGCCAAGGGTTGAGCCCCAAGACTGCCACTCTTGTTGCTGTAATCGCTGCATTGGGGAATTTGGGCCGGACTGAGGAGGCCGAAGCAATTTTCGAAGAGATGAAAGAAGGGGGATTGAAACCGAGGACCAGAGCATATAATGCGCTTCTTAAAGGCTATGTGAAGACGGGTTCTTTGCGAGATGCTGAATCGATTGTGTCTGAGATGGAGAGAGGTGGGTTGTCACCGGATGAGCATACTTACAGTCTTTTGATTGATGCTTATGCCAACGCTGGCCGGTGGGAGAGTGCAAGGATTGTTCTCAAAGAAATGGAGGCCAACAATGTACAACCCAATTCATATGTATTTAGTAGGATATTGGCCAGTTATCGGGATAGAGGGGAGTGGCAAAAATCATTTTCGGTTCTCAAGGAGATGAGGAGCAGCGGGGTACGTCCTGACCGGCACTTCTATAATGTAATGATTGACACTTTTGGGAAGTACAATTGTCTGGAACATACGATGGCAACATTTGAACGGATGCAATTGGATGGAATTCAGCCTGACACAGTTACATGGAACACACTTATTGATTGCCACTGCAAGTCTGGGCGCCATGATAGAGCTGAGGAACTATTTCAGGCAATGCAGGAAAGCGGGTGCTTGCCATGCACCACAACGTACAATATCATGATTAATTCGTTGGGGGAGCAAGAGAAGTGGGAAGAGGTGAAGAGCTTGTTGGGGAAGATGCAGAGTCAAGGATTACTGCCTAACGTTGTCACTTATACCACACTTATTGACATTTACGGGCAATCAGGAAGGTTTAAGGACGCAATAGAGTGCTTGGAGGCCATGAAATCTGCAGGATTGAAACCATCCCCAACCATGTATCATGCCTTGGTCAATGCATATGCACAAAGAGTATTTTCCTAAACCTAAGTTTTCTTCATCTTAAAAGATACTTTTTTTTCGTCCATATTTATAGTAATTTCATTCATTAAAACCAGATGATTATGTTCTTCAGCAGGTATTTTGGTTACTCCTGAATCATAAATTAGGAAATGGTTGATTTGCTTTTATTGTCCATACGGGGAAGAAAATGGTTGATTTGCTATTAAATTGATTGAAAATTGAAGCCCAAAATTCCAGTGTAGAGCACCTCTGACTGATGGCACCAATCCTTTTGTATAATTTCAAGGGATTATGAGCATGTTTGATTGGTTAATATTGCCCAATTAGATGGTTCATAATGATCCATATCAGTCTATTTATGACTATATATATATATATGTATATAGTTTGGTTGGTGATCGTTTGTTACAATTGGCACAAAGGGGATGCCAGGAACCACAATCCTTCTGGTGAGAGTACACTGTGGTGTATATTTCCTCTCTTCATACAAGTTTTACTATTGCTAGAAAAGATTAACGACTTTGATCATAATATTTATTATTCTGTGGGACAACAATTGTCCAATAACCTAATTAATAGATAATCACCAAATTTCAGTAAGTTCTTTTTTTTGGTAAAACAAATTTCAGTAAGTTGAGAACATTAGGACAACTATCTTTCACAATTATAATGTCTTTTGTTTAGGAGAATATATATTTTTTCCATGAAGAGATTAGACTGTTGAGCAAGAAAACCAATATTACCTCCATCTGTTGACAGGGTTTGTCTGAACAAGCAGTAAATGCATTTAGGGTCATGAGGGCTGATGGCTTAAAGCCTAGTGTTTTAGTTCTCAATTCATTAATTAATGCATTTGGTGAGGACAGAAGGGATACAGAAGCTTTCGCTGTATTGCAGTACATGAAGGAAAATGTAAGTTGTTGATTTACACTTTTCCATAGTGATCTTTGTCCTGTTTTCTTTTGATAGCAAGCAGCCCCTAACCCCCCAAAAAGATAAGCACAATGAGATAACCTCACCTACCCCATCTTCAAGCAATTAGCTGATCTTCAGGCATGAACAAATGCCTTGATCTCTAGTGAAATTGTCTCCTCCCAAAGAAGAAGAGACTAATTTTTTTTTTTCACCTGGACCTCAGGTTGGATGGATGGATGGAGGGAGTCATCCACACTTCCTTTCTACCAATCATCCTTCATCCAATCCATCACTGCATCACCATTGGAATCTCCTTCAACCTCAGCCTCCTATCCGCTTTCCTCATTCTCTCATTCTCTGAGAATGTAAACATAATGTTTTTGAAATGAAGCGAGAGAGAGAGTTTCTCCCCAGCAGCCACTTCCAGTGGAACTGATAAATCCAACTCTCCAATAACAGGTCTTAACAGAACATCTAAAGTCCATGTCCTAAATAATGCATGGGTGATGAGACTTAACCTCCAGGCATGGCGTAGCCATCTGGCCTTCCCTTCAACCACCATTTTCTTAACCTTGTTGAGGCATGCATGTGTTTTTTTTTTTTTTTTTTTTTTGTGTGTGTGTGTTTTCTCTATCTATACACACCATTAAATTCTGTGTCCTCTCATATTATCAGGACTTGCAGCCAGACGTAGTTACATATACTACCCTTATGAAAGCTCTCATCCGGGTGGAGAAGTTTGAAAAGGTAGAAATTCCTTTCTTGCTCCTTTTTTTAAAGGCATAGTTTGAGGAATTTTAACCACTCTTTGTGAAAAAGAATCCTTATTTTACATTTTTTGATTTGTTCTATTTTCTACTTATCATAATGTCCCTCCCCAGACCCCGCATTGGTGGGAGCCTCGTGCACTGGGACTACTGTGACCCTGGTCACCAGACCCTGCATCTGGGGGTTGCCCCAATATAAGGAAAAGTCAGGCTAAATGGTTTGGTTATGCGTATAGAGGATTACTTACTTTGATAGTTAAGACTAATCTAATGCAGCTGTATGTATACCGTATACCCTTGGCTTCTCTGTCTCTCTCTCTCAGTTAAATTATTGACTGCAGTGAGTAGAGACAAGCTAGTAGAGATTACTTCTAGTGTGACCCTGGTCACCACTTCCTTGTGATGCCTAATTAAAATGGAGTCATGGACATGCCAACCTTTTGTTAAAATTCAAAACATCACATGATTTGCTTTTTGATTTCCATTTCTAGCACATCTGTATTTAATTGGAGGGTTGTGAGGAAGTGCTGTGACCAGATGTAAACTCAAGCTAAGGAGCCCCAACTGGAAAAACTCGGGGAGGATGGTAGTTTGGAAAGAACAAAGGATGTGGGCCAGACCTGTGTTGTTGGAGGGGTTCTGGAACAAGAACAAGGGGGTGAGAGAGGGGTTAAGTCTGAGAAGGAAGAAAGGGGGGTGGGTGGGAAAGCCAGAGGGGCTTTGGGGAGTAGGGAGAAGGATGCAGCGGAAGGAGTTGAAAAGAAGAAGTGGGGAGGAGAAAGGAGGTGAGTCAACTTTAGGAAGGGTGAGAGAAAAAGAAGGGATGGAGGGAGAGACAATGGTGGGGGTGGGAGGAGAGGGAATCGAAGGTGGTTGGTCAAGGAAGTTGCCAAAGAATTATGCCTAACAGAGGAAAAAATGTACAGAACCAGGCCTTTGGAAGATAATAGTGGGGAGGGAGAAGAAGAGGAGCAAGATGAGGTGGAATAAATGAGATGAATGTAGTTCAGGGAGCAATGGACTTGGATAAGGTAATGAAAACAAAGGTGGAAGTCAGCTAAATTTTAGGCTTATTTTTCTTAGGTGGAAACTCAAGGAGCGCGTTTAGAGAAGTGAAAGAAATGAACTTTAAGGATGATGGGTTTAAGGGAAAAGAAACTTCTGGTGGGGCCTGAAGGGGTTGTTGATTGTTGTGTCACCACCGATGGACTGGCGAGATTAGCAATTGTAGATAATCCATCTATTGCCATTCAAGGTAAGTTTCAGGTTGATGGGATGGGGCCGTTGATGCTTGGTGAGGGAGTTGTGGAGCTTGATCAGGAAAGCTGCTCTATTTCCAAGGAGTTAGCGGTGGTGACTTCAAAGCTTCCCTTAGCCGTGGAGGAGCAGGACAGGAGGGTGCTGTGTCTATCTCAGGAAGCTAATCAGGCCCAATCCTTGTCATGGGTGAGGAGTCAAAGTCCTTTGAGATCCAGCAGGTTTTGAAGGGAGTTGCAAGCATGTGTGAGTGGGTACACCAGAACATTAAAGACATTGGAAGATTTTTGGGTGTTTCTTTCGATGGTTATGAGGACGAGGTCATGGCATTGTTTATGGCCATAGAGAAAAGGAATGCAGGCGGTGGGGAGGACCTTAATGCCTTGTTGAAGCAGAATCCAAAACTAGCAAGGGAGTAACATAGGTTGGAGTGGACACTCAACGATCATCAGGGGAGTGGGAGGCCTATCGGGGGAGGGGGAAGGGAGATGGAGGCTCTCAAAGGGGTCACATTTTTCTCAGTCACTCATGAAGTTATTCTTTTGGAATGTAAGGGGACTGGGAGTCCTAGAGAAATGGAGTTCTGTGAAGGCTGTTATCCACAGGTGATCTCCTAATATTGTGATTCTACAAGAAACACAGAAAGAGGTGCGGTGTGATAGTTTAAATAAAGAAATGTGGAAAGGGTGGTCTTGTTGGTGGGTTGCAAAACCAACTATTTGTTTGTCTAGAGGAATTGTCATCATTTGGGATGCTGCTGTGGTTGAAATGGTGGATTAGATGATGAGGGAGTTTTTCTCTCAGTTTGGCTCAAGAATTTTGGGAGGAAATCTCACAGGGGTGTATGAGCCAGTTAATGGGGGAAGAAGATTTGAGTTCTAGCCTCTAGGCTGAGTTGGAGGAGGTGTATCTTTTATGATGGTGTGTGGGAGGAGACTTCAACATTGTTAGATATACCTGTGAGGAGAAAGGGGACTCATGCTTGTCGGTGGACATGCTGGAGTTTGGTGAATTTATTATTGATCACATGGGTCTTATAGATCTCCCTCTAGAGGGTGCAACTTTCACGTGGATCAATTTTACATCCAATTCATCTCTATCTAGATTGGATCACTTCCTTATTAATGGGGAGTGGGAGCAGGAGTTTCCAGACTTGGTGCAACGAGCTTTGCTGAGACCAATGTCTGATCACGTGCCACTTCTTTATCTGGAAGGTATTTCTTGATACCCAGGAGGCCAGGACCTTTCAGATTTGAACTCATGCCTTTTGCCTGGTTTTGTTGAAAAAGTGAAACAGTGGTGGGACTCCATTCCTTCCCTCAACAATCCAGAGAGGACTTTTTGTTTTAAGCTGGAGTGCTTGAAGGCCTACATCAAAGAATGGGCCCAGATGAACTAGGCTATGTTGCAGATAGGAAGGAGAGAATGCTAAATGCCATTTAAAGAGGTAGATGAGAAGGAGGCCGTGGGCACCCTCTTAGATGATGACATAAGGAGATCCCTTGTGGCTAGGGATGAGTTCTGCAAGCTTGCAAGAGTGGAGGAAATCTTGTGGTGGCAAAAGTCTAGGGCTCTATGGTTGAAAGCAGGTGATAAGAACACAGAGTTCTTTCACCAAATGGAAAATACAAGATGCAGGGCGAACTCGACCACAAGTATTAGGGAGGATGGGGATTTGTTGGAATCAAAAGAGGAGGTGGCTGAAGGTATACTAAATTACTACAAGCTTTTGTTCCCTGATGAGCAAGGGTAGAGGCCCCAATCGGATGGGGTGGAGTTTCAATGGTTAAGTGATGAAGATAGGGACTGGCCGGAGAAGCCGTTTGATGAAACAGAAGTTTTGGCAGCTCTCAAGGACCTCAAAGGGGACAAGACTGTGAGGCCTAATGGTTTCCCGGTGACTTTTTTATACTAATTATTGGGAGACCATCAAATCAGGTGTCATGGTGGCTCTTCAAGACTTTTATGTGACGTGTACTCTGTCATATGCATCAAAATCTACTTTCATTTCATTAATTCTGAAGTTGTAGGGTGCTTCCAAGTGCCAACTTGAAGGACTATTGCCCAATCAGCTTGATTGGAAGTTTTTACAAATTACTTACGAAGGTGCTGACTAACCGCATTCGAAGAGTGGTGAGAAAATTAGTTTTACCTTTTTTTTTTAAAGGAAGTTAACAGATTTCATTAAAAGAAATAGGGGGTACACATGAAGGTGTACGAGTACTAAACAGGGGTCAGGCCCCTAAAAATTACACAGGTAGAAATTTGTCACAATACAATGTCTCCAGTATAGCACCTAGTTTTGCTAATCCATCTGCAATGGCGTTTAAATCCCTTGGAATCCAGTACAGAGATGCGTTCTTAGAAGCCAATAGGTCCCTTGCCTCTGCTAGGAAGTGACTAAGTCTCCATGGTCCAGCCTCCTGTTTTCCTAACCATTTCATGGTGTTTGCTGAGTCACCTTCAATGGAGAAGTTCTGAATGCCCAGTCTGTTGCCTAGGCAAATCCCTGTGAGAGCTGNTTAGAAGCCAATAGGTCCCTTGCCTCTGCTAGGAAGTGACTAAGTCTCCATGGTCCAGCCTCCTGTTTTCCTAACCATTTTATGGTGTTTGCTGAGTTGCCTTTGATGAAGAGGTTCTGAATGTCCAGTCTGCTGACTAGGCAATCCCTGTGAGAGCTGCTAACACTTCTGCCTTTGTAGAGTCAGCTATACCAATCGGTCCACTGTACACCCAACAGATGAACCCATTTTCGTCTCTTAAAGTTCTCCCTATGCCAGCAACTCCAGGGCTACCCGATGCACTACCGTCAAAACTTAGTCCAATCTCCTTCCCTTCTTATTGATGGAACCTTGGGGGTATGTGGGATAGAAGGGGAGGAGAACAGAAAGTTRACAACATTCCTGTTAAGGTCATTAACATTGATTCCTGTGAACACTTCTGAGCTAGAAGCCCACAAATTGCAGTGATAATTGATATGATGGATCAGCTCACTCTTGGATTTTACCTTGTTTTCAAACAACCGATTATTCCTTTCTTCCCAAATTCCCCATAGCACAGCAATGTAACACTATTTGCCAGTATACCTTACCTCTCTTGTTCAGACCTTTTTCTTGCCACTGGGAAATCAGGTCCTGAAGATGATTAGGAGCCACCCAGCTGTACCCAACTAGCTGTAAGAAGTAGTTCCAGATGTTGTTGGTTACCTGGCAGTGTATGAAAAGGTGATCAGCTGTCTTCCCCTCACAAAAACAAAGGATGCAGAAATGAGGAGAGATATAAAGTCTTCCAAGAATTTTCTTCTGCAGTAATTCACAGGTGTTTACTCGATTCTGACAGGCCTCCCAAACGAAAAAACACACTCTTGAGGGAACAGACTTACACCAGATCTTCTTGAAAGGGAAGACACAGTCCCGGTCTCTTGCAACCAGAGCCTCGAGGAAAGATTTGGAAGAGAACTCACCAACAGGGTGGGGTTTCCGGACACGGGAGTCTTGGGAGTTTGGGGTTCTCTGAGAGAGAGGAAGAGATCAGTTAGCTCACTAATCTCCGAGTCCCTTAAGGGTCTTCTAAGGCTCAAATTTATGTTGTTTTCATTGGGAGAAGTGGGGAGACACTGAGAGATGGTTGCTTCTTTGTTTAGGGTGAGGTTGAAAATTCTAGGATAAGATTCCGTTAAAGTGGAATTGCCCCACCACAGGTCTGTCCAAAACTTTACCTTACCAGGGTGCTTTTGTGGATGGACAACGGATCTTAGACGGGCTGTTAATAGCAAATGAATGTGTGGTTTCTAGAGTTAGATAGGGGGAGCCGGGAGTCATTTGCAAGCTCGAATTGGAAAAAAAGCATATAATCATGTAAGGTGGCAATTTGTAGATTAGATTCCGAGGAGAATGGGCTTTGGTGTTCTTTGGTGGAAGTGGATTGCTTGTTGTATCTCTGATCCAATGTACTTGGTGATTTTTTTTTTTTTTTGATATCTTTTGAAGGGCTACACAACGGGGGGTAGTCCATCCCCCAATCCAGGTGCAGGTGGGCGATTCCAAATCTCCGCTACAACCAGCAGGAGACCTTACCAACCACCTGGTTGGCACCTTGCCATGTACTTGGTGATTATTAATGGTGCCTTTGTTGATTATTTCCCTGGTGAGCGTGGCATTCAACAGGCTGATCCACTCTCCCCATTTCTTTTTCTCTCGTAGTGGAACCTTTGGGTAGAAGAGGGTGGACACACTGAAGTTTTTCCGTGGGGGCTGATGGGCTGAGAGTTTAGTTCGTTGATGACACCATCATTTTCACTAGGGAAAAGCAGGAGGATATGTTGTGTTTGTGGTGTCTTTTCATCTATTTTGAAGCTGTTTCTAGGCTGAAGATTAATCTACAGAAGATCCAACTAATCCCAGTAGGGGAGGTTCCCCATATAAATGAGTTAGCAGTCTCTTTGGGCTGTAGTGTGGGTTCATTGCCGACAAGATTCCTTGGTCTTCTGTTGGGGCAAGTTACAACTCTTCTTCTATTTGGGATCCAGTCATTGAGTGGGTCCAGGTTAGATTGTCTGGTTGGAAGAAAACGTATTTATCTAAAGGAGGTAAGCTGGTTCTCATACGGAGTGTGCTCTCAAGCCTTCCTACCTATTTTTTTTGTCTGTTTACAACTCCCTCTGGGGTGGTAAATTGCTTGGAGAAGATTGGGAGAGACATCCTTTGAGAGGGTCCTAAGGAGGAGCAGAAACTTCACATGGTAGCTTGGAACAAAATTTGTGAACCAAAGGAAGTTGGGGGTACTGGTTTTAGACAGTTAAAATCTATGAATAGGGCTCTCCTTTGCAAGTGATTGTGGTGTTTTGGTGAAGAACGTAATCAACTTTGGAGACAGGTGGTGGGGAGTAAATATGGTATAGCTCCCATGAACTGGGAAACTCTCTATCCCACTCAATCTTATGGCTCTAGTGTGTGGAAGGGAGTTAGAACCTGAAGCAGGAATTCGACAAGCATGTTAAGTTAAAACCTGGGAATGGAGAGCACATTTTCTTCTGGAATGATACTTGGTGTGGTGACAGCCCTTTGAGCTCTGTGTTCCAGCCTTGCATCAACTATCAAATTGCTGCTGATAGAAATTGCTCTGTTAGTAAGTGTGTTGACTGGGTGGGCAATCAGTCAATTTGGGTGCCTCAGTTGAGGACAAACCTAAATGATTGGGAGGTTTCTTTGGTGGAAGATTTTCTCAGCAAGTTGAGTGAAGTGTAGTTAAACCCTCAGCAGAAAGACTATAGAATCTGGTTGGGTGAAAAGTCAGGATGTTTTTCTACCAATTCTTGCTACAAATTACTACTGCTTGGCTGGTGTTGGATTTGGTGAGCTAAGGTCCTCTCTAAGACAATTTTCTTTTTATGGGCGCTGTTTGGGATATATTCAAATGGTGGACCAGCTACTGAAAAGAGGTATAGTGTTGGGCCCTCTATGTAGTTTTTGTGGAGAGAACCCAGAGTCAGTCAGCCACGTATTGCTACATTGCCCTTTCTCCTATGCTATTTGGTGCCATTTGTTTAGGATTTTTTGTAGATGTTGGGTCTCCCCCTCAAACCTGGATGTTCTTTTGTCTTCATGGAGGGCCCCAGGTTTCTTGCAGAAGGGAAAGATCCTTTGGGATTAGCTACCTTTTGCAGTATTGAAATGTCTGGAGAGAAATGCTCGGATTTTTCAAAGTAAGAGCTCCCCTGTGGAAGAAGTGACCAGCCATATTGATTGGACCCTCATTTGTTGGGCAAAGGTCTTGCCCCAGTTTGCTTCCATAGGGTTGAAGATTTTAAGGATGGATGGTGCTCCATTATTTCTTGAATGATGGCTACCCATTTTTTAGAAATGCAATACTGATTTTCTGAAACATCTGATTGTATAGCTTTTTGTGGTGGGATTTTGAAGGGTGGAGAGAAAGGAAAGTCAACTCTTGTTGAAGATTCCACACCAGTTGATGTGGAGGAGGAAGTTAGATTACTGAAAGATGAAAGGGCTGCTCTAAAGAAGGACGATGATGGGGCAGCAGATAAATGTTTGAGAAAAACATGGTTTTAGAGTTGGAATGGATTAATCATAATATCGAGGAGATGAAGAATTTTGAGGCTCTTCCTAATGCAGTAAGGAGATTCAGACACCAAAAAAATAATTGGACTGTTCCAGTTTCAAAAGCGTTTGCTAGACTGAAGGGGGGATTGTTCAGGATTGGTCTCAACCGAAGGGGAAAGAAGAAAAAAGAAGAAAAAGAAAGAAATTTCTGTTTCAACTGCTGGAGATTTGGAGTGAGTGGGCAATGTTCCTTCGTTTTTGTGATGTGGGATTTTGTTTTTGGGTGGTTTTTCTTGTTTTGGTTGTTGGGTGGGTGTGCTGGGGGTTTAAATCTCTGAGTTGGTCGGTTAGGGGTTGTTTGAGTTTTATGTGGGTGATGTCTTTTGAGAACCAGAATCAAGTGCTGTGTGGGTTCCTTTTTGTGGGCTTATGGGGCTTGTGGAAGTCCTAATGCCTTCTATATCAGCCAAAATTTGACCTGACACAATGTGCTTAAAATTGTCTGATTAATACTAGATTGCCATAATGAAATCTGGAAATGCAAGTGTGAAAGCCTACTAAGCTTTTGAATGAGATTAAAGGCGGACAGAGATTAGATTAAAATTGAGGGAGATGTTCCATAAATGAGTTTGAGAACATTTGAAGCCTATATCACATGGCATGATGGCCTACCTGAATATACATAAGAGTTGGACTATGCCTCTATACTCAGAAATTGTGGTCAGGCAAGTCAGAAACCTATGCACGAATCCATGCCTAGAAACCTTATCTAAATCTCTAAACCAAGGTGACAAAAAAATTGTAGTTTTGCTGTTTTCATATGTGCTAACTTGAACAGGATGAATATCCATGCCTAGAAACCTTATCTAAATCTCTAAATCAAGGTGACAAAAAAATTGTAGTTTTGCTGTTTCCATATGTGCTAACTTGAACAGGATGAATATCTTTGATAATGTTGCACTAATGCTTAATGTATCAGGTTCCGGCTATCTATGAAGACATGATTCTGTCTGGCTGTACTCCAGATAGAAAAGCTAGAGCAATGCTGCGATCTGCTCTTAGATACATGAGGCAGACATTGAGAAGATGACAGAGAATACATGAGAAAGTCCAGAAAAACAAATTTTGACGATTTTTCTATTTGGTTTGAGCTTCCGAATGCACACAATCTGAATATAATCCACCATTTGAGGTTGGTAGCCATGCGTCTTTCTAATATATTATACAGATAGGTCCATGTATGAGGTTGGTGAATCCCCATACATAATGATCTTTATTGGGCAATTTATCCTTTATTTTCCTGCAGGATCAATTGATTCACATTGGGTTCTTATGATGATCTCAGACAGAATTCGACATTTCAACTTCAAATACGACTCTTGTTTCCAGGGAAAGAAAAGAGGATGCGATACACACCCCAAAAATCAAAATACAAATCTGAGCATTTGTTTGTTTTTGTCTTACACCTGTTAGATACACATGCATGTACATGACCCCAGTACTTGACACCATCTTGTATCATACGGTGGAAGAAGCAGCAAAAATACTGACTTCTGATCAAGTGGTCATGTTATATCATACAATGAAAGATATCACTGAAAAAAGTAGCATCTTCTAGTTTCGCATGAAGACTGACATGATTCGTACTTGTATGCTGTTCTTACTATTTCGAATAACTCTATCCTTACCTTTTAACCTCCGTTAATATTCCATCAAAATCCATAAACACGTGATGTCACATGACGTTTAAAAATTTTTAAAAACCCAATTCCTCCCACAATCATTAATCCCGACTTCCGAAGCTTATTATCCCTCTCCCATGTCTGCCAGAGCACCGACTGGCCACCGCCTGAGCAACAATGAAAGCTTCTATACAGACGAGACAAGAGGAAGAGGGGGAGTTAAGCACACACACAAAAAAAGAAAGATTCTGTACAGACGAGACGAGAGGGAGAGGGGGAGTGCTCTTAGTAGGGGATTTAGTTTATGGGGTTTAGGGTTTTCTATCACAATTGCACGGATTTGATTCAGTTGTCTTCGAGCAAGAGAATAGAGAAGCTTTGCAAGCATGCTAATTTTTTTTGCAGCTTAAAATGTAAAGCTGAAGAAAAAGTGGAACCCATTAGATGATGGATCTCCATCTCTGAAATCAGAAACCAAGAAATGACAAAAGCGAACGCACATTTATGAATGAACCCCTGCAAAATTTCAGTCGATTCTTAGTTGGAAAAGGCCATTAAGCTCCGCCGTTGCTTTGCTGTGTGTTTTGGTCGGACCAAGTGACGAAGAGCAGTGGCAGATCTGCCGGCTTTCTGAGAGCTTCAGCAAGACGAACAGCGGAGATCCGCCGCTTGGTCTGGCCAAAATGCATGGGAAAAAAAGATAAGGGCAGGTCCGCCGCTGTGAAGAGCAGTGGCGGATCTGCCGGCTTTCGGAGAGCTTCAGCAAGATAAACAGGGGAGATCCGCCGCTGCTCAATCTGCCGCTTGGTCTGGCCATAACACAGGAAAAAAAAGAAAAGGGCAGATCCTCCGCTGTTCTCTGCCGATGGTTGCCGTTGTGAAGAGCAGTGGCGGATTTGCTGGCTTTCGGAGAGCTTCAGCAAGACAAACAAGGGAGATCCGCCGATGCTCGATCTGCCGCTTGGTTTGGCCAAAACGCACAGGAAAGAAAAGAAAAGGGCAGCTCCGCCGCTGTTCTCCGTCGGTGGTTGCCGCTGTGAAGAGCATTGGCAGATATGCCGGCTTTCGGAGAGCTTCAGCAAGACAAACAGGGGAGATCCGCCGCTGCTCGATCTGCTGCTTGGTCTGGCCAAAACGAACAGGAAAAAAAAGAGAAGGGCAGATCCGCCACTGTTCACCGCCGGTGGTTGCCGCTGTTGCCGGAGATGTTAGGATTAGATCTTCTGTTAAAGAGAAGGCCCTGTTTCTGTCGCTTCTGGCACAACGATCACAGGGGTTCACATCAGTGGGTTGTCTTCGATTTCAGTGGAAGAAGAAGAACAAGAGGTGGGAATGAAATGGTGGAAAGAGGTGCTGCTGATGGTACATGGAAGCCATTAAATGGCGCCCATAGGGAAGTCATGAAATGTTGGAAAGCTGTCCCCCAGTTGCAGCGACCGCTATGGATGGATGGCGCTCCTCCCTCTTCTCTTTCGACAGATGGGGTGAGTGTCTGAGAGGAGTTAATTAAATCAGGGACAAAAATATACTTTCACATAAGGGTAAAATGGGTATTTAACTTTTCCGTTCATATTTAATGATTGAGGATACATTTAGTCAATTATTATAAACACTAAATATACACTTAATCAATTTTAGGGTACACTTACTCAATTAACTAAATCATAAGAATAGTTTTAAGAAATTTACCCTTTACTGAAAGACCGGAGAGAAGGTCTGAGAACGGAGGTTGAGAGAGACCAGAGAGCGGAGGTCGGGAGAGAGATAGAGACAGGCGGAGGAGGAGGTCTGAGAACGGAGAAAGGAGAGAGAGACCCGAGGCAGAGGGGGAGGTCTGAGATGAAGGCTTGAAAGCGTGACTTTTGATGACGCTCTAGGAGAGGGCGATTGAAGTGGGTGACCGTGGGAAGGTACGCCTATTCACTGTGCGGATTTAACGAAAAACTGTATGGAGCAGTTCATCGATTTCGCTCTGTAACCTCTCTTAGTTCCCATTCTTCATTTTTTATTTCATGCACATGCGACCAATGATTTTCCAGCCATTTGAGCTGTTTTCGATTGGAATCTCGCCGGACTCTGGATGCTTGTATTCCAAATTCAAACGGGTCTTCATCGATCTACTTATTGTGCCTGTAGTTTCCAAGAAACAGTGGTCTGTTTTGATCAACCAAAAATCTTCTCCATCATCTCATCTCGCTGCTGACAACCAAAAATCCTCTCAAGCCCAATTGCAGAACAACAACCATAACATCGGAAGCCAAAAAAAATTGGCAAACTGTGAGCATCAGGCCGTCAGCATATCATGCCGACTCTTCAATAGATGGGGAGGCCAAACAAGAATTTGCAAGCAAGCTCTTCTGATTTACCCTAAAATTAGACAAATCATAAGGGTAATTTAAAAAATTTACCCCAAAATAAAATCTAAAAGCAATCCCAAATGAAAATTGAACCGGAAATCATACCCTATTCTCGCCCACATACCACTGGTTTTATGAGACTATGGAAATGACCTGGGTTTTTATGGCATCATGAAATTACGCAAATAAATTGACTACTTCGGTTTGACCAATGAGACGGAGCCCGGAAAGATTTAGGTTGACTGTAAACGTGGAATGGAGTGAATAAAGTGCTCTTGATTCTCGCTTACATATAAGCCTCGAAGAAGAAAGGAACAAAAGGAAAAGACTACTATTTGAATCTCCAGTCCCAGGCATGGTTTAAAGTATCGGGGGTAGGCAAATAAGAGGAATTTAAGATATCTGTAAATTTTAATTAATAGTTGCTAACTTCTCTCGCTGGTTGTAGCACAGGCTTGGGAGTTGGGATCAAATACTGTGGCTAATTGGGGGGGAGGTACGGGTACTGGGGGATTGGTTACCTACTAAAATGTTGTCGAAAGATGGATATTGATTGAATCTAAGCCTTTATCCAAAAAAAAAAACCTAGCAATGGCCCATCTTTTCCTCATTTCTCATCAGCAATGGATTGAATGAGTGGAAAAATTGTAGAGGACAGAATCTCCAGTCAATTCATCTAAATAGGTAATAAAACGACAGAAAGAAGACTAGGTTGGGCTGTGTGCGGACTGCGGAGAAGACCTGTAACAGGTGATACGTTGATTGGGGGCAGAATGAGTTGGCGAAAGATCAGAATGATCATAGACTAACAAGAAATGATTAGAAGTGTCTATAATTTAACGAAGGACATGAAAGTGAACAGAACGGAAGGGAGAAACAAGATTCATGTAGCCATCCGGTACAGTTGGAACAAAGCTTAGATGGTGGTGATAATAATGAAGATTACTGGTTACATTTCCACCACATGCACCATAAACACGTGCAAAATACAAAAGAGATTTCTCTGACTTGAATGAAGCCATGAAGCACTTTTACCTGGCGTTTTTTTTGGCAGTACCACCTTGTTTATCCTTTTCAATTGAACCAACGCTTCTCACCAGTGCATCACTTTGAAAGTAAATCTCCCAAAATTCTGCGCAGATTGAATGTAGGATGATCCAAGGTGATAATGAATATTAAGAAATCGTAGACGGTGCAATGCTTTTAAACCCAAAAAATATCAGGATATTTTTCATTGTGGTAAATAATTGCTTTTACACTGAAATTTTGTATAGTCGTGTAAGTTACAAAATCATTTTCTACACACAAAAATCCTCCCCTAAGAATGATGACCATAAATTAATACCTTACATCTTTTGTTTTTTCCTTTCACCTCTCTTTTCTTTGTTGAATCAGCAGAAAACAGATTCAGACAGGTAAGGCTGATACCATTGGTCTGCTGCTACCTTTGCTCTTTGAAATTCTAGAACAGAACATGAACATTAAAAGCACTGATGATAAAAGAAAGAGCCTAAAATATGTTCTTATCTCCTGCATCCCAAAATCAAGCACCTCTGTCTGTTTTCCATACCTACTCTTCCTCCCCATCAAGTATCCATCTAAGTACTCATCTATAGATATCAGCTTCTCCAAATCAGGGAGAGAAACCTTTGAATGGATTTCATCCAGCCGGCGGGGTCCAGTCTCAAATAATGTCAAGAATACTGAACACCAGTCGTTTAGAACTCTCTGAAACCCAAAAAAAAAGTGTGAAGAGACTGTCATATAGCTAAATTAAAAGTACTAACTGTTTTAAATGTAAATAACCTACATTGAATGTGGCCAGATCAATAGGATTGAACATTCTAAAGCAGTCCTTTGAGGAGGCCTCTTCATCGCCATAGATCTGTAAGACAAAACAAGTAAATAAGGACCTCACAAGTGACCAATGGTAAGATGTAGTTTACTCACCTCAAAAGTGAAAGCCATTGGTGCCTTGACAATGTCATACATGTAATCTGTAGCAGTCCCATGTGCTAGGTACCTGAAATTATGTAGGGAATTTTCTCAATTAGCAAATTATTATGGATCAAATGCCAAAGTAATAGAATTATCATGTTTGTTAAAAAATATTTATATAGTCTCACTTTCATGTTTCTTTTTGATAAATAAGGATAAATTTCAATAATAAAAACTAATGCAATTACAAGCTTCCCGTGGAGAGGCACGAGCTGCATCCTCTCCTAACAGTAGGAAGAAAGACAAAAGATACAAAACAGATTCAGTCTACAATTGAGCCCAATACAAACTTTCCCTATTTACCCCTTGCTTTGCAAGACCATCAGCCATAGAGTTTGCTCCCCACCCATTGTATTCTCACTGTCAAGCTTCTTGTTAGGCAGTTGATTTTTTTAATTTCATTCTTAAAATACCACACTATAGAGTCCGGATTTTGTAGCCAGCTCACTACCACCTTGGAGTCCCCTTCTATTATCAACTGTTCCACACCTATCTGCACTGCTAACTGTATTCCCTGGATAGCGGCAGCAAGTTCCGCCCTAGTAGAGTTTCCAACTCCTATGGGTCCTGAGAAAATAAGAACCACATTCTCATTCTCATTCCTCAGTACCCCTCCCACCCCTGACGGACCTGGATTATCAAGACTACTTCCGCCGAAATTCAGCTTCAAGAATCTTTCAGGAGTGGGTTCCCAAGCCATACTCACTTTAGTCTTTATGGATGAACAATTAGCCACTGCTAACCAGTTCCTCCAAATATCATTAAATGAGAATTGATGGAATAGGTCCAGTGATTTTAGCCACAAGATCACCCTATTTAGAATGCAGTCCATCTCTTCTGGGCTTCTCTCCTTCTCTTGGAAAATTCTGTTATTCCTTTATTCCCACACGGACCAGATCAGTGCTGCTCTTGCACACCTCCACATAATTCTTCCTCTTCTGTCTCACTTTCATGGTACACTACATGCGAGGTTATAACTAAGCATTTTCTGAATTCATAGCCCACACCCAACTGTTGCCCACTATACAATGTGAACTGGGGACAAATTTGAACTTCTGATTCATAGTTCATACATCATTAATTGTGCAATCTTTGATATTGAAACCAGACACCATTAAGCTGGTAACTCCTGCAATACCACTATGTTTTTCCCTTTCCCTTATAAGTTATATGTGAGTTTACAAGTCATTAAAATAAAAACGAAAAAAGACATTAGTAAGCCAAAAAATACCATCTGAAAAAAATGTCAACAAGCAGCTAAGAATGCGATTTTATTTTTAAAGCCAAAAACTGTTGAGAAAATGCCAGAAGATGATTATCTTCAGGGTGGTTGATTTGAATCATGAGCATTTTTAGTACAAGGGTTGCTTAGTTCAATGTAAATATTAGCTATAATTTAGTGACTGGAAATTGTTTCATGATCTTCTTTCATTCACATTATGATCTAGTACAAACCCGACGGAGCCTCCCCCTGACCCAACCAAGCATCTGTCTAGGCAGTGAAGATGGTTCAATTCTTCAAGCATTGACTTCATTATGTGTGATGCCAAACCATTTGGTGTCGTGTTCTTGTGGTCATATGGCATGAATAGAGCCTGAGTAAATGAAATAAGGTAAGAAAATGGTTAATTCCAAGGACAAGAATCAGGAAAGAAACAAGAAAAGGGAATATGCAAGGAAAACAAATGGGAGATAATAGAAGCAGAGAATACTGTAGGCAACAGATTACATTCAGAATAATCTTGTAACAAAATCACTAATCTAAAAGGTGTCCGCACAGTGAATATCAAATTTAAAGTACAACTCATTTGCTAGTTGGTTCAGACAAAAGTCAGCTTAAAAAAATACATCAGAACTAAAAGCACTGATAAACTACAATGCAAAAACACTTTTTTTTTTTTAAATCCTTACCTATTTTAATGATTTTTTAAATAACTTGACCTGTGTACTTTAGCATAAACAAATAAAATTTGGCTTCAGCTTAGCCAGTAACTTAATTGTTTGACCAATGATAACAAAACCGTGAACTGGCAGTTTGACCCGGCTTACCACCCATAAAGCAAACAGCAAAAGTTGGACCTTACCATTAACCTTTATTAAGGAAAACCAACCTGGAGGTCAACTCAGAAAGGAAGCTACTTCTCAGTCACTTGTTCAACCATAGGTTGACCTGTCCAATATATTGTAGACTTTGCACTAGCATATACATGAAGGGCCTTTGCACAACAGTTGGGTTGCTCCATTGTGACCTGGGTGACCAGGGTTCAATCTTGGAACTCTCTGTATGTGCAAGGGTAAGGCTGCGTACATCTGTCCATCCTCCCCAGATCCCACATTGGTGGGAGCATCATGCACTGGGCTGCCCATACTACGTATACATGTATATCTCTTATACATATCTGGTAGTGTAGAGAGACAGGGCCTAATAGGCCCTAGTATCTATTCTTTTATTTATGTAGTGTGTTATTTATTTGTTTGTTAATGGGCCTGTTACTTCTTTTTATAAGTTTATTTTAAGTTCTTGCTTAGCTGGCCTCCCACTTAAAGGCATACTTGTAATTAACATAGAAAATGAAGATTAACAAAAGGATTAGTGAGGGGAGAGAGAAGATTATCGAACTCTTCTTCTTCTTCCTCTTCTTTTCTCCATCTTCTTCTTCTGTTTTGCTGTCTTCCACTTTCTTCTCTATTTTTAATCAAGTTTATATCAGTTTTAGAGGACTGATTTACTTCTTGATATCAGAACAGATTTTCCCTTCTCTTTTTTTTTTTTGTTTTTTTGTTTTCTCTTTTCTCATACACCCTTCGATTAGGAGAGTGTATGGAGAGACAAGTTCCCTATAGATCAGAGGATCTTTTGCCTAGTTGGTAGAGGGTTTGGAGAGTTGAAGTCCGGCCGAAAACTGCCAAAAAGTGATGCTGTATTTTTTCTACCACAAACCCTAGCCGACTGGAGAGCTTTGAAGTTATAGGTCAAGGAGAAGCTTTTGGTGTGGCGCTCAATGCTTGGGAGGTGTATTTTGACTCCTAGAAGTGTGTGGTTAAAACTTGAAGGAGGTTGGGAAGCTTTGGTAGGAGCCTAGGAGGGGCTGCCTCTTCTCTCTCCCTCCTCGACAGCCGAGTGCAGCGAAACCCTAGTTGTCAAGTATTCGGGTACTGTTTTGACCTCAATTAAGTTTATAAAGTCTGAAAATCTAGTTTTTTGATTTTCATTTGATCAATGGAGCAATCTGGAAGTGAGTACAAGCAGATGCCAGTATCCGGGCTTGGCTCAGTAGATTCCTTTTTGACTAGAGTGACCACAATTAAGTTAGATAGAATCAATTACCTAGCTTGGGCACAGTCTATACGGATTTATGTTTGTAGTAGAGGTAAATTAGGGTATCTCACAGGCAGTAAGGTGAAACTTACAGAGACGGACCCTACATATGAGAAATGGATGCACGAGAACTACATAGTAATCAGATCGTTGGTTAACTCTATGCATTATCTTTGGATGTTTTCAACCAAGGAGATCTAGGACAATGTTACGGAAACCTATTCACAGAAGTTGAATGTAGCAAGAGCCTATAAGCTGAAGAGTGATGTGAAAAATCTAAGATAGAGGAGAAGAGTGTAGAAATCTACTACTCTATGCTGAAATCACATTATGGTAGGAAATTGATGTTATGGAGATAGTTGTATGGGAGAGTACTAAGGATGTAGAGACTTTTAGGAAACTGGTGGAACGAAACAGGGTGTTTGAGTTTCTTACAGGACTCAACCTTGAGTTCGACATTACTAGGCAAAATATTCTTGACCAAGGATGAGGTTACTCATGTCCAGGCATATGCTATGGTAAGCAGTGAAGAAAGTAGAAGACATGTTTAGTTACAGTCTACCTACAGAACACTTTGTACATGCTGGAATAAAGCTGAAGGGTCCGATTGAGAAGAAAGAGGTGATATGTGAATACTGCAAGAAACCGAGGCATACTAAGAACACTTGCTGGAAGCTTCATCCAAATCTTCTCCCGGACAGGTTTAGGAATAACAAGAATAGCAACAATTTTAAGAAGAATAGTCAGACAGGAAAGCCTAAGAATGCTAATGTTGCCACAGATAAAAGATTGGTATTAAGTTTGGGGACATGAAGGACAAACGATAAAATATATTTATTTTTCCACAACTCCAATAGTGTGAATTTGTCTCACACCGCCGATCTCAAGCCCAGATAAAGGAGGAGGATTGTGTCAGACTGGAAGCTGGCACTAAAACTTTTGCCAAACTCTCATGGTTATGCATCCTGATTTGTCTTTTTGTGCTCATCCTAGGGCATCCATAGAGGTGAAAGCCACACCTAGGGGTGGCCACGAACTGAGCTTCTCACGAGCTATTCGAGCTCAACTCATGAAAAGCTCAGCTAGGCTCGGTTTAAATTGAGCTTTGAGCATAGCTCGAGCCTGATACATAGTCTCGTTTGCTAGTTGAGCCGAGCTAGAGCCTAGTGAAGCTCGACTCGTAAGGCTCACGAGCCTAGTAAAATAAATAAATAATTTTTCATTATATACATATAAATATATATAAAATAATAAAATTTTATTATATATAATAATATTTTTATTTTTTATGTATAATAGTAAATAATTTTTATAATTCTTATTTTGTTGTATGTAAAATAAAAAACATTTTTATATGTATAATTTTTATTTTTTAGAAAAAACTTGGCTTGTACTCAAGCTCGAGCCGAGTCAAGCTTGAACTTGCGAGCTTTGAACCGAGCCAAGCTCAAGCTCAAGTCTCTAGCTCGAACCTATGATTATTTCGATGAGCCGAACTCGAATAGCCAAGTATTCGGCTTGGCTCAGCTCGAATCCACCCCTAGCCACACCTTAACTTGAGTGTAGTGTCAAGTGGGCAAGGGTAGTCCTTGGAAGCAATGCACCACAACAATGCTTGGTTGTGGTGTTAAAAGGCAAGGGTTCCCACATCCTTTTAGACAAGGGCAGGTAACGATGTTGGTCTATCTACTTCTTGTGCATGTGAAGTGTGGACCTTAGGGTTGAATTGACCCAAATTGTGATCCTAACCATTTGATCAATGAATTTATTTTGTGTTGAATGGATATATAGGCTAGAAAACAAATATTAAATGTAAAGGAAAAGGGTAATTTGGATGACTAGATCACTTCTTGCATGTGCACCATATGCATATTAGACTACAACAGTGAAAATGGATCAAAATTCAGTGGGGGATAAGGAACTCAACAACAAGGAATCATGGAAAAGAGGCATGACTTACTTCCATTCCAGAGTGCACATTAACCCATATATGTGGATCAAATGATGCTGAGAGTTTCTGCATTATTTGAGTTTCAGGTTCGCTAAAAGGAGCTGTTCCTGGATTTTCCTCATATGGATCATAGTCCTACAGTTAGAGGAAAAAACATAGAACAAAGAATCTTAGTACTACAGAACAAAATATCATTACTATATTGGACCAGAAGAATAGAATCCCAAATGAGGGAGAAACATCCAACAAACAACAAGAATTAACAGCCCTGATATAGGTAAAAAGAAACTAGGTTTCGGTGCTCAAAAATAAACACGATAAGGCAAAGCACACCTTCTCTTTTTTTCCCCAGTCTACACTCCAATTTCGGTTGAGATCTACTCCCCTTCCTAACAAATAATAGAAACTTAAGCATTCCTATAAATAGAAAAGCAAGCACATGATATTAAAAAACAATACAATGAATTGTATGACCATTTCTCCTCTCACAGAGATCTCCAGCTTCAACAAGTTTGCGACCATTCAGATTTTCCATTGGCACAACCTGACATATTGAAAAACATATTAGAGAACCGGGGATGTGAGTTCCTTCAAGCATTTCTTCTCTAGGCCAAGCAAACCTTAGACCTAGACGGTCTGGCCTGGCCTGGAAGTTATACATATATATGGTAAAAAGTTAAATATTTTATAATGGTATAATAACTTTTATAGGTATGGTATAATATTTCATATATATGGCATGTATTATGTATAATTGTATATAAATATTAAATTAAAATGCTAATTAAAAAAAAAACTGTTTTAGTTGTTTTAGGGGTTGGTGGTAGGGACCTCTGTGATTTTGTTGTGATATTTGTATTTGGATATGGGTTTGTTTCTTAAGGTGCTTTGGTATGCATGTATGTTTTTTCTCTGTTTTTAGGGGCTTTGTTAGGGCGGGTCTGTTGTTTTTTGGGTCTGCTATTGCTGGGTGATTCCTTATCACCTTGCTGTAATTTCCTTTTCCTTTCTCTCTAATAAAGTTTATTTTTTATTTATCTTAAAAAAATTAAAAAACCATAATTAACAGGCCAGCCCAGCACAGCCCATCCTTGGGCCCAGACATATATAATCAAGCCAGAGGTGTGGGCTGGGCTGGGCCCCAGCAGCCCTATTTAATGTTAACACTTTGTTAAAACCCGATCTGGCCTGGTCCGGCCCATGTTCATCCCTAACTATTTGTTTGTGAGAAGTAAAATAGGCAGTAAAATGATGTAACCCTCTCCTCATATTTAAAAGAATGCGGCTAGGAGGAAGGTTATTTGTTTGGGAGTGAGGTAGGAAGCAAGATGATGCGGTTCCCACTTTATATGAGAGAGAATTGAGGTAGGGGCAGGGTGGTGCAAATTTTGCATCCGTTTTTGAGAAGCAAAATTTGCACTGCTAATGAGTACAAATCATAATTACAAACAAACAAACAGATTCAAAACTCAACTGGGTGCAACATTTGTATTTGGTTATTTGCATCCGTTATTTGTTTGGGAATGAGGTAGGAAGAAAGATGATGTGGTTCCCACTTTATATGAGAGAGAATTGAGGTAGGGGCAGGGTGGTGCAAATTTTGCATCCGTTTTTGAGAAGCAAAATTTGCACTGCCAATGAATACAAATCATAATTACAAACAAACAAACAGATTCAAAACTCAACTGGGTGCAACATTTGTATTTGGTTATGATTTGCACTACAAACAAACAGAACCTAAGGCTCTGTTTCAGAAGAGTACAACTACAAAAATGTTCAGTACAAATGCAAATATGTCTGGTTCATAAAGATGCAAAGTTGGTTTAGTTTTGTAATGAGTAATGATAATTTTGTACTATTGCCAAATGATTTTAGTTGTGATAGGTACAAACTACAAACACGAAAAGTTGTGGATTCTAGAAAGCAATCACTCAACACAGAAAAGAAGAGGCACTAACTAAGGCACTATGAAGAAGCAGAGCAATCACTCAACAGTCAGCACAACCTGTTCCAAACAGTCTGGTGTCTCTCTAACCGGCAACTGCTTCTCGCCATTAATCATAATGATACCACTTCTCACTGACGGTCTCTGCTCTCACTTTGTTCTCTTAAGTCCAAATGTATATATATATACATTTGCAATAGTCAAATACTTGTTAAAAAAATGAAGACATTAACTCTGTAGTCTGTAGCTTACTTGCATCGGTATATTCTCATTATATTTTAGGTTGTAATGGCACAATAGTGTTTTTTTTTACCTTACAATATAATTTACCACTTGTGCAATAGAAGTATAAGATGATATAATAATCAAATTTGATTTGAAAGTCAAATAATCCACAAACTATGGCTCTTTATCCTACATATGGAAAATAAACTCAAAATATGGTCTTAAATAACATAAACAAATCATTTGAATAAGGTCTTTAAAACAAGTCACCCTTGACAAAACTAAATATAAGCAAAACAAAATGACAAAGTGGAGAACTAATTCTTAATTGAATTGATTTGAATTGCAAGACTTGTATAAATTGTAAGATTTATGAATCAAAAATAAGATTCAAACAAAAATTGTAAGATTTTTCAAAAAATGATTCGGACATAAAATTCAAATTGAAATCCTTGGGAATCATGACTAAAAATTGTGAATCATAAGATTTAAAACTCAAGAAATTGTGAACCTATCGGAAGATTTGAAACATGTGTTTCTTTGTCTATTGGGAGTAGATGAGAGGAGTTTGGTTCCAAAACCCAAGTTCCTTTTCTTGTGTTTCTTTTTTCAAGGCATTGTATGAAACCACTCACACCAACATTTTCTTGTAAATGTCATTTGGAAAGGCACTTCTCTAAAGACAAGTTATTTTGTTGGGAACTGGAAGATTTGGTGCTTATCCACCAATCAAAAGACACAACACACACAAAAAAAAATAATAATGATAAAAAGATTTGGTGCTTATCCTATCATGTGTGCATTCTCTATCTCAAGAATAGGGAGAGCACCAATCCCTTCATTGTCTCGTCTGTTTGCATCTCAGGTATGAAATCACTTTCATGGAAACCTGGTTCCTTGTAAGATGAAAGGCATGAAATTTTGTGGCACTGTATGGGGGATTTATTTTGTGAAAATAAAAAATTGAGAATAAGGAGCAAAACATTCATTCTTTAATAGATTTAGTCATTGTGAGAATTGCACATTGAGCTTTGATAATTGACATGTGAACAATTCAAGGGAATCACAATGGATGACCTATTGAGGGGATGGGAGGGCATTGCATTTATTTATTTATTTTTTCAGCAAGTAATGTTAAAATGAAGTGATCCAAAAATAGATAGAATGAAATTAGATTTTGATTGTTGCAGTCTAGGCAACCCTGGCACTTGCAGATAGGGGCGCTGCTAATGATAATAGGGAGAATGTTCACTCAGATCCCTGGGGGCTATAGGTTTTGGTAACTTTTAAATGCAGATATTTTAGCTGTCATTCAAGGTGAGTTGGGGTTCAAGTTTCTAGTTAGAGAAGCATAAGCACTAGCAAATAGCCTGAATCCTGAATTTGTTTTAAGTTGGTCATAGGGCTGTTAACTGTTTCACAGACTCTCTACCTAGAACAGATACAGAGGAAACTTTGGGATGGGGAACTCCTGAGCCAGGGGATGTTTTGTAAAGAATTTTATTTAGTAAAGTATCTGGTGCTGTCAGATTTTTACTGTTTGTATTTGTTCATTTCCACCTTCTTCAATGGTACATAGAGTACTGAAACCTTATTTAAGAAGATTATAATTTACAACATACAATGATCATTCTCAGAAGGCAGATGGATAAACATACTTTCAGAGAGTAAAGCTGAAATGGTGACATTGGTGACTGCTCCAATCAGGGGCCAAAATTTTTGGTCTGGCTGAAACTTGTAATTTATAACCTGACTCGACTCGGTATTTAGTCATAAACATTAAAGAAAACATTATATATTTGGCTCCATATCCAACTTACATTACACTATATTATGATATATGGTTCTGGTCCTTCTTCAAAGGCAGATGGCTAAGCATATTTCCTGTAGGTAAAATCTGAAAAGGCAACATTGGATTAAAGTTTGGGTTATAACCTGGTCCAATCTGTCTTGACTCACACACGTTAGAGAACAAGATCATATATTGGCCACCGGACCAACTTATAAGACTAGCTGTTTGTATTGAAGAATTCAATCTACAAAGTTCTAGTAAATGATTTAGTTAGTAATCATAGGCAAAATTAACCCACATTAATACTTCATTACTTCTCAAAAGAACCGCGTTCAAATTTTAGAATAGACAACTACCTTTATGACAAGCCTCTCCAGTGTACTGTTTAAGGATGTTGGACCCATCTTGGGGATTGGGTACTCCTCACCTAAAATGGACAGGAGCCGCAGTGCAACTTCGGAGGTAATTAGCTCCCTTCCGTGCTGACCGAAACTCTGGAAGACAAGGAATCCTCTGTCAAAAACACCAGCCATAGCCAATCTCAGACATTCTATTGGACATTTAGATGTATATAGCATATTCAGAAAAATTCTTTTGTAAGGATCATAGAGTTTCCTGTAGTACTAAAAGAGAATAAAAGCCTTTCCCATTTCTAATCCTTTTCTTTTCGTCCCCTCTTGTACAATTCAAAAGCGCTAAGGTCTAACAGAGACTACGAATTTATGGTTGTAAACCAAAATGGTTATTTCGATATGCTCAAGCAGTAAATACTAATTCAACATAAACAGCTATCCTGGAAGACTTACAAGAAGGATACGAATGTTTGAACTGTCGTCGATCTTCCTCCTGCCATGGGCATAAGTAACTACCAGGATCTCTGCATTGTAGCCCTCATTTCCAGTCCTAATTGTCTCCATCTATTTAAAAAAGAAAGAATTGACATTGCCAGAAGCTGAATTCTAAATGAATGCATAATAAGAAAAGAGCGAAACTGAAGAATACTACTTACGGTTAGCCTATCCGGGTGACGATGCACCAGGGCTTTAATTCCCTCTTTCAAAGCATCACTGTAAAGGTGAAGGAGAAAAAAAAAAAGAAATTCAATCTCAATTACTGTCTATTTAAAACAGGGAACAAAGTGCAGTATTTCCTATTTCTCAAGGCAAGTATTGCAGGGATGACCGAACAAGAACCATTTCAAAATTATTCCCAATTCTCCAAAGTTGGAAACAAAATCACAGATTGCCGAAAACAACTGTTTATTGCCTTTATTCGTCACAACCATCGACTCGTGAACATTAACAAGAAAAGGAAAAAAATACAATTCAATTACGCTACAAGTTCATCACTATAAGAAAGCAGACGCATAAGTGCATCACGTAGGTGAGGAAAAAGGAAAAAGATGGTGCAATCTCCCGAAAAAGGGAAAGCTATACCAATAAAAGAAAATAAAAGAAGCTAAACCTCGTAGGTGTACCTAGAATGGTAGAGATCACGTTTGATCGGGGTGAAGGACGCTTTAGAGAGGTTTCTGCCATTAACTAGTGTCAAGAGTTGCAGAAAGACAAAGAATAAGAACCAAGATGAGCAGTTGGAAAGGAGAGAACCCATCTGCAGAGAAGCTGATGTTTCTTTTCTGTCATTTGTTCTGCCGATTTTTCAGCAGAAATAACGAAAGAAGAACCCCATTCCGATGCCAGAGGACAAGAGGGTTATCTCGACTCCTACATCTCCACGACAATTTCGACGGTCCTGATGAGTTAGGTATCATCGTCAATTCGTCATTAAAAGTGAACTGTAATGCAGACATACAGATGACTCCGTTGAAATTCCAAAGTCAGATCAGATGAACAGAAAAGGCACCAAGATGGAATCTCAGATGAGCCCTCATATCAGATGGCCAGAATTCATCGTCTCAACCCGGTTCTTGATCTTAGAACTAGAAATGGGGCCATTTTGTGCCTCAGTGATGAACGGTGATTACGTATCTTTCTATTTTATTTGACTTGTCTCATTTTAAACAGTAAAACCTTATCTACCATATATTTCCCCCCGATTCTTACAAAATCTCCGGAGACACCCATGTCATGTCAGAGACAGCCTGTCACATGTTAAGTGGAAAATTACTAATATAACTCGCATAAATCATCGACATCCATTATATAGTAATATAGAGCTGTGTCTGGCTGTCCACAGGACACGGCCGTGCCGGGCTTGGTTGAGGCCCGCGGGCCGTCACGGCACGATAAAGTGGGGCGTGCTGTTATAGCCTGCTGCTGCGGTTCAGACGCTCAGTACGTCTGTTCGGACTGGCTATATATATATTAATAACTTATAACTTGAATTTTTATATTAATTATTTGAATTTTAGATATATAAGACAAATTAAAAATTAATAAAAGTAATAATATGATTAAAAATAAATTCAAATATTTGTAGTAAATGTGTATATACATGTGGAAATTTTAAATTATAATAACAATTACTATTACTATTATTATTATTTAATTATGACATCATGAATTTTTGTTTGAAAAATTGGATCATTGACCCACCATCTAGATAAGAAAATATCTTTGCTTTTGGATCAGTTTTAAATTATATACTATCTACATTATATAAATAATTTTTACTTATCACACTTAATTTTTGTTTGATATAATTTTTTATATATTTCTTTGATTACTTGTACTTTTTTATTTTTTAAAGATTTGTTGTTTAACTATCATATCATCAATAAATCCATTTGACCCAAACCATTAACCCACAACTTAAAAAGGAAAATAGTTTGATTCCTATGTTGACACTAAATTTTGTATTACATTTCTATCATTGATAAATTTATTTCTTATGTATAATACTTATTTTTGTTCAATATAATGAATGTATAATATTAGAGTTGTACTCAATATTTATTTTCATGAATATATAACATTAGATATGTGCCCGATTTTTTTCTATTTTTACTTTTGTTATTCTTTAAATTTTCTATTTTTAAAATTTTATTATTTGACTATGACTTAATTTCATTTCTAGGTTGATTTTAAAATTGGGTTTCCATTTTCATCATTAATAAAATTACTTCTTACATTTCATATGTATTTTTATTTAGTATAATGAATATACAATATTAGAGATATGTAAAATTCTTTTTATTTTTTGTATTATATATTTTATCTATTTAAATTTTTTATTATTCAATTATGATATTATTTATTAACCCATTTGACCCCAAATGGTTGAATTGCTTGCCCAACACTAGGAGGGAAGAAAATAGTTTTGTTTTCAAATTATTTTTCAAAATATTTATTTTTATACTATTAAAATTAATTTTGTGGGTTTAATGAGAGAATATACCTTAGTATGAGATCTAATGAGAGAGAATGGAAAAATAGTTTTATTTCTATTTGATTTTAAATTTTATATTTCATTTCCATGATTAATAAAAATATTTCTTATTTATTATACTTATTATTATTTAATATGTCAAATATATGATGTTAAAAATGTTCCCATTTTTTTAATTTCTATATTTTTTGTATTTTATCTATTTTGAGTTTTATTATTTAATTGTGGCAACATGAATTGACTCATTTAACCTAAAACAGTTTAATATCTTACCACCACCTAGATGAAAACATTATTTTTTTAAGTAGATTTTAAAAGTATGTTTTTATGTTATTGTAGTTATTAATTTATTATGCATGGATTTAATTAATAGAATTTAATGATGGTAAGAAACCAAATGCTTTAAATATATGATTAAATGAAGGTGAATGCACATTAATACCTTAATTGTTGGATTTAATGAGAGAAAATTGAATGCATTGGATATCTTATAATTGTCTCTTCTCAAGTCATTTAATATCAAAAATTGATTACTCTTTTGCCCTCCAAAAATATTCCTAAGGCTATTTGTGCTTTTTAAAGTAGTGTGTGTGAATATATATATATATATTAAGCTTTAGTTGCTATATTATGTGCAATTGTATTAATATTGCCTAGGTATATATACAAATTGATAGTAATCAAAATATTGTAACAAGGCCTCTTCGTAGAAAGTGCGTTCTTCCCATCTTGGTTGCTTAGCTGTACTAATATCCTTCACTATAGTTTGGGCATCCATAAAGATCTGAATCCTTTGTATCTAAATCCTCCTTGAAGTTGGTAATTGCAATCACCCTCTCCTTAATTTTCTGACATAGTTGCAAGTAGACCCCCCTTTGTTAGAATCCTCTAAAAGAGACATGAAAATATTCAAAATACCCATTCAATTACTTTTGACCAAAATATTTATTTTTCAAGTTCTATTTTCATATGAATTGCTATTACAAACATTTCCAATATATTTTATGAAATTGATTTATTTTTCAAAATTTCCCTTCATATCATTCGTTCAAAGGTAAAGCTTTAACTTTAAATTCCTTTTTTTTTCTGTTTCATAAAATTTGTATTATTATTATTATTTTTTTTTTGTAGAGACCAGCCTCAATAGTAATTGCATGGGTATTTTGGATACTTTCATGTCTTTTGTTAGAGGATTCTAACAAAAGGGGTCTACTTGCAGTTGTCATAGAAAGTTCATGGGAGGTGATCACAATTACCAAACTTGAAGGGAGGTTTCAGAAATGGTCAGAAACTTCAAGGGAGGTTTTGGCAATTTGTCCTAAATATAAAAAACAGTGTTATCATCCATGAAAGCCGTTGTATTTTACAACATAGGTGTACTAATGTGGAGGTCTTCTGATGGTGAGGATGTGAACTCTTCTTGGGTCTAGCTTAACTCCTTGGAAAACAATCTTGTTTCGTTCTTCCCAGATAAACCAAGCAAACACCATCCACTTACCTAGCAGTCCTCTTTTAGTAGTTTGGTTCACTTTTTTTTTTTAATAATAACAAAGATTTCATTAATCAAACAGAATAATTAATTGCAAAGGTAGGGAGATAAACTTTCTTGACTCCCCCAACAAAGGCAAGAGCCCTCAAAGTGAAAAAACCAAAATTATAATTGAGCCCAGAATAAAGATTCCCTAGTCATTCCTTGCTTTGCTAACCCATTTGCAAACAATTAACAAATCTCTTCACTCAGCTGTACTTTATTTCCATATCCTTAGCAAACCTTGTTGCTAATTTCGTACCGTTAATTAGGGGTGTCAATTGGACTGGATTTGGTCCAATGTGAGTCCATTATCTATGGATCAGGTCTAATCCGATCAAATGAATATTTTGGACTGGTCCAAGTCAATATTTGGACTGTCCAATCTGTTCAAATTTGTTTTAGTTTAGATTAATTCTAACCCAAACCTGGTCTATTGACACCTATATTCTTATCTTCTATCAATGGTCCAGATATTGGCTAAATCCAACCCAATCCAATATAAATTCATTATAGATGGACCAAGTCTAATCCAATCCAATAAATATTTTTGACCATTAGGTCTGAAATGGTCCAATTCAATATGTCTTGTTGGTCATCCAATCCATCCGAATTAATTTTGCTTTAGACGGGGTCCAATTCAAAACCGGTCCATTAACACCCCTACCTTTCTATCATTGTCCCATCAGCTGTTTGAGAATTGAAGCGTATGCTTCTTGTATTCAAACAGCTCGTGCAAATGCACAGGTGACAAGTAAATGGTGTAAATATTCATCAGTTAGTGACATAGTTCACATTCCTTTTAATTTCTCTCTTCATATTCCTCTTAATAATTCCTCATTTGTAAATAATCCTCTTCCTCGGTTACACAACTTCCACATGAACACTTGAATTCTTAAGTTTGTCTTCCGGATAGCTCTCTAAATATATTTTTCTCGCTTGCTCTAGATGATTGAATCAATTTACTATAAACACTACCAAACTTGAATTCTTATGTAGCACCCATTTCTAGTACCCTTCCAAACTAACTGGTCTTTACTGACACCCAAGGTTTTTAAAACTGACTCAGATAGCAAACTGGTTAGGGTCCGGTTCCCGGGCCGAATGGTCTGTTCGTTCGAACCAAACAGTTGATCCGTTCTAATAAAAAAATTAAAAAACAATCAAAACTATTGAACGGTTTGAACCGTTCAACCACCTGAGTCAGCGATTTATTAACCAAATCAACATTTTTTTTTTTTAACAAAAATCCGATTTTGATGAATAACAGAACCAATCACCTGACCGGTTCCTAGTTTTTCCTGTCCGATTTTGAAAACCATGCTGACACCTCGATTAGGTAACAGGTCCTCTCCACTCCTTCAAACAAGTTATTTACTTGATCCATATTCCACTGGCCAGCATTCTGGAATAATTGGTTAATTTTTATCTTTATTTTATTTGTATGTAAATCAGCTCTGCCATTCGGTATACCATATGATGTCATTGGCAACCATGCATCTTTGAACCTCAAAAACTTTTAGATTCTAGTGCTTTGCCCCCTAACTTGCTAATGGCCGGGTTGCCTGTGAAAGTAAAATCATGTAATTGCCAATTCGAGATTCTATGGGCTGACAACAAATATTAAAATGCCAAAAATAAACATTCTAAAGCACAAATAGTTATAAAAAATGTAATCATTTTACGGCATTGTCAAGGTGAATTTGTTGAAAGAAAGTAAAAAAAAAAAACAATAAGGCTGTGTTTGGTTTGAAGAAAAAAGAAGAAAAAGGTGAGGAAATCTTTACAAACCTTGTATGAGTTTCCCTACCTTTCCCTTCTTTTTCTTTTAAACCAAACATAACCTAAGAGTGAAATTGGAAAAACCAAGTGAAAAGAAAAAATGATCTCATAAAAAACATAAAATAGTTTGGGGTTTTAAGAAATGTTTAACGAAATATTCCATGGAATGCCAATAACAGTAAAAAATGCTGGAATCCAAAGTTAAGGAGGGTATTTGACTCTTTGTTGCAAAATAAAATTCAAGGGGGCTAATCAGAAGATTCGGAACCGCTCTTTTGCTCAAGACTCGAACAAACTTTTGAAGGATCAGATCAACTCGCACAAGTCACAAGTTAGTTTCATTCTGAGTTGAATAGAAACTTGAAATAGTCAGAATCAATATAAAAAAACGACACAGAAATATCAAACTCCAAAAGCTTTAAACCTCAATTCTTGTTGGCATTCCCTTTGGTAAGGCTGCCCATGGCCTTCGCTTTTTCCCTGAGGGCAAACTTTTGTGTCTTTCCCGTATAAGTCTTCGGCAAATCCTCGAATATAACAGTTCGAGGGGCCATATAATGTGGTAGACGATCGCGACAAAATTTGATAATCTCTTCGGCACTGGCGTTCTTTCCTTCCTTTAATTTCACGAAGGCACAAGGCGTGTCCCCCCAGTGATCATCGGGTCGAGCTACGACTGCAGCCTCAAGAATTGCTGGATGACTGAATAATACCGATTCAACCTCGATTGAACTTATATTCTCTCCCCCTGAAATGATAATGTCCTTTGATCGGTCCTTCAACTCTATATATCCATCAGCATGTTTTATCCCAAGATCTCCACTTCGGAACCAACCACCACTAAAAGCTTCCTCAGTAGCTTTTAAATCTTTGAAGTATCCACTCATCACAGTGTTACCTCTAAACATCACCTCCCCTATTGTTTTCCCATCTGGAGGTACACTCTTCATGGTGATGGGATCTCTTATATCAACCTCCTCCAGCCCAACATGGTATATCCCCTGGCGGGATTTGATCTTCGCCCTTTGGCTGGGAGGCAAAGAATCCCACTCGGGTTTCCAAGTGCAAACGGTCCCTGGACCATAAGTTTCTGTTAGGCCATATAGATGAGATACACCAAAACCCAGTTCTTCCATCTTGGACAGGATATGTGGATGTGGAGGTGAACCACCTGTCATAACTTCAACTTTATGTGGAAGTGGCCTCCGATCACTGGCAGCTGCATTCACAATTGTGTTCAAGACAGTAGGTGCGCCACCCATATGGGTTACCTTGTGGAGAACAATACTGTCAAATATGCCCTTTGGTGATACCTTTCTAAGGCATATGTTAGTGCCACCCTGAACAGCCACTCCCCAAATGAGGCACCAACCATTGCAGTGGAACATGGGCACGGTCCATAGGTAAACAGGCATTGGCCCCATACCATGGAGAAAAACTGTCGCAAGTGAATTAAGATAGGCACCTCTGTGGTTATAGAGCACTCCTTTGGGCCTTGACGATGTGCCTGAAGTGTAATTCAAGGTTATAGGATCCCATTCGTCCTTTGGCCGTCTAATCTCAAAATCAGGTTTGCCAATGTCTAGGAGGCTTTCATATTCCAAGTTATCAGAAGTGAAATTCATGTTACCAACAGTCGTGGATGGGATATCAGACTCAGGGATTACAACCAGGAGAGGTAGCTTTTGGCTTGTCTTGGAGAGAAGGTCAACTGCTCTACGGGCAACTTCAAGTAATTGGTAATCTACGAAGATCATCTTGGCCTCTGAGTGCCTTAGAAGAGAAGATAGCATGGCTGAATCGTGCCGTGTGTTAAGTGTACAAAGAACAGCTCCAGCCATTGGAACACCAAAATGCAGCTCATATATTGCTGGGATGTTGGGGGCCAGTGCAGCAACCTGTCCAAACAATTCAAAGTTAATTAGGAGATTATCCAGAAGATAACCATCAATTTAGATTATGAAACACATCTAGTAGCTCCCAAAATGGACTAAAACTTTATTCTGATGCCATCTCCAAAGCACTAGGATATAAACTTGAGGGTTAAAGATTAGAAGAAAAGAAAATTTCAGCTAGTAACCTTGGGGGAATTTAGCTGCACTGTCCAATAATGAGAGAGAAGATTTTTGTATGCAAGACAAACTTACTATCAATAAGGAAAACCAAAGATTCTAACATCTCAAAAGGAAGCATAAGAGATAGTAGGTAGAAGGATAATATATTGAGGGCACAGTGACATGGGTAAATACTTGGCATCTTTTCTAGTAAAAAGAAGGATAAATCTCTTAAACTATCTCTACTGTTTGCAAAATTGACTAACTGTACTGTTTATAAAAATTGACATTGCTGTTAAGTGCTAACGGAAAGAAATAAAATGCCAAATTTTCCCTCCACTATTCCTCAATCCAACCGATGAACAGTTGGCCATGGAAAGAGACCAACTGTACTGTTTATAAAAATTGACATTGCTGTTAAGTGCTAACGGAAAGAAATAAAATGCCAAATTTTCCCTCCACTATTCCTCAATCCAACCGATGAACAGTTGGCCATGGAAAGAGACTGACGTTCGGAGGCTCAACTTCGTTCTCTCTGCCTTACCAATCACTTCGCTACAGATCTCTCTTCTCTCATTCTTCCTCTCCTCATCTCCATTGTTGTTGCAACTGCGTTCAATATTCGAGGAACCCCCACACTGCAATAGATGTTTTACATCAGAAAGCTGGTGCTGTCGCAGTAAAAGATATTTCTTATAATGTATTCTGCCTCATCTTTTTTTCCCTCTCAGTAGTCTCAAGTGAACATTGATAGCGGATTTGGTTTTACCAAGACAATTTCTTGAAGGTTGTGATGATACAATGTGAAAATCCAGGAACTCTTTGCCAAGTTTGGACACGGGGCCCAAACTTCTTCAACAATCCAAAGTGGAGGCAATTTTCTACCACAACTAGAATTGCTAATAATCAAGAGAGATTAAGAGAGAGTGTTATGTTGAGAGTGAGAAATGTTCTCAAAAGTTCAAGTGCACTCCTCAATATTTTGGGTTCTATTTATAGACCCTTTTATGACTGTTGGGTTTGTTCCAATGGATAGGAATTACCCACAAATCTCTCTAAACAGTTGGGATTAGCCTCCACTGGGACGAGACACTTGTCCCTGGTTGTTGAGACATTTTCTCAACCAACTACTCCTCTCTAGTGGACCAAGTTTAAAAGTGATAGGTCAAAACAGATTTTATTTTATAGGAAAATAATAATAATAATAATAATAATAGTAATTGAAAAAAATGTGTTGATTGTGTGTGCATGCTGTTCCACATAGAGCAAATACTCCATTGATCGTGTGGTTATTCCTGTTGGCCTATGGATAGTCCTACACATCGAGGATGATATATATCGAGGGCCATAGGCCACTCGGTCCAACATCTCCCACTTGGCCGTATAGGCCCGAGATGTACTAGCTGCCCAGTAGTCCTGTTGACCTCACGTGCCATTTAAAATTGCCCAACAATTAAATTGGGCTTGGTCAACGGTTTGGCAACTATTTCACATGCTGGCACATATTCAATTCATATTCTTTTTTTACATACATCAAGAACATAATGATGTTGTAGTAGCTTATGCTTTTCAATCAACCCAATCTCTTTATCTTTGATGATTTAGATTGCGGCCTGATCAACATTTTTGTTCAGGACCGGTCTTGTAGGTGTACGATGTACCGTCCACCTTGACATTTTCAATAAACTTGTGGATCCATATTGCTTCATTGCTTCAACTGTAGTTTTATTGCAATAAACTCCATTTTCATTGTGTGTTTTGTTACACACTTTCTTTCTAGGAGACTGCTCCTCCTTCCAAGAGGAAAATATAATTAGTAGTAGGTTGTCTCATGCAAAATAAAACTTGTATCACAATATTTTATCAATTTCAAATCATTGCATTGCTAGGTTAATTTATAATATTTTTTTTACTCCTTGAATAATTCTTAGTATCCCTCTAATCACCTTCTAATGCAATTTCCAATGTTATTTTAATATTAACTAGCAATACCTTTAATGCATTTGAGCATATGTATTTGTTTTCATTTTCTCTTATTCCTTTTTCGTTGAGTCTTTTCCTTACATAATTTTCTTCCCTTCTTAGTTGTAGTTCTTACCAGATTAAATATTTTCAATCAAAATAATTGTATCCAAGTAGGATTGTTGTGAAAGAGAGGAATTCTTCCCCTTAATACCTGGTAATCATGTGAGAATTCCCACTAATGAGTATTATATCCATAACTCATTGTGAAAAGTGCAAGACCACTTTTTAGAAGCTCATTTTAATCCATATAATGCTTATTTTAATTTATGCATTACATATTCCTTTTTTTTTTCATCCTCTAGAATTTGTATTTTTTTTAATCACTTTTGTACCATGTGTAACCCTTGGAATCTTCTAGGAACACTTTACCCTTTTATTACCTAGCCTTTTTTTTATAAATAGGGTCTAACATATAGATATTTCGAACCCTATATTTTTATATGTGATAGGTCTTGCTTCCTACCATTCCACATTTCATAAAGTCTTAATGGGTATTTTATTTATTATGTAAATTTCAATACTTAGGATTTTTTCAATATATTTCCCACTAAGGAGTGATTTAGCATATGATATCCTTTGTTTCATTTTCTCCTTTATTTTTCTTCATTTTTCAATTCTCTACAAATGCACTTAGTATGGCCCAATTTTCCACAATGGTAACATTGAAACCTTTTCTTGAAGTTTTTATTTGAATTCTTTCTCCATTTATTCTCTCCCTCATATTTTTCCTTGAATTTTTCATTTTGTTGAGGGACATCTTCATTTTCATTTTAGCCTTATTATTTTTGACGTTGCCATCATTGCTTGTGATATTTTCTTTTTGTTTTCCCTCTTTGATTCAAGGGCAAATAAAGTAGAGAGGTTTTGCATATTTAGTGTTGTATCAGATAGGTTTAATGTTATCCCTACAAGTTCTCAAGATTCTGATGGCTATATAATATGGTGGATACTTGCATTTTCTTAGGCATAGGATCTTTGGTAGTAGCTAATTCCTTGGCTATACATTAATATGGTGGATACAACCATCTTACATGCATAATACTTTTCAATTAAAAGTTCTACATCAGTTTCAATCACTTTATCATATGTATCAATTATGGCTTCAACCATTGCATTTTCATGTTCCTCAAAAATTAAATTTATATCGGGTTCCATAAAAGTTAACATGGCTAATATTGCATTTTGATTATCTTTCACAAACTTTTCAAATTCTTTATTTGTCTTCGGAGATGTCTCATCTTTTAGAGATAAAGGAATTTCCTTGTCTACTATGTAATTCATCTCCTCTTTCCAAAATTCTCCTACTTCTCCTTTTCCACATATGAAAATTAGTTCCATTTAATTTCTCAATTTTGCTCAATTCACTAACTACAGCTGATGATCCTCCCATGCTTCCCATTCCTACTTTTTTTTTTTAGTGTGTACTATTTCACTCCCACTATCCTTGTTCTTCCTTAATTAATAAGGATAGTAATTTCTCTATTATTTTTTATTATTTTAAAATTTAGGAGTACATTTTCTACTCTTAATTTTACAATCCTGAGGGAGTATATGTATAAATTAGGGATTGAAGTATGATATTTTATAAAGGACTAAACAATAAACGTTTCAACAATTCAAAGACTATATTGCAATTATAAGAGAATTGATGATCACATAATAATTGTTCAAATATTATGTAGTAATCAAAATATTTTTACAAAGATATATGATTTTTCAGCAATTTAATGTAGTGACCTATATACAATTCTCAAAAACCATCATCTAAGAAAGTGCATCACACAAATTATGAAAAATAAGCAATTTCACATGGCCTATTATTTCAAGAAGCAATAAAAGATACAAAGAGTCGTTGGACCTCTAGTACATGGTGTCCAAAAATTAAAAAAGTTTAGTTGATATGCTAATTGTTGCTCTTGAAATTCAAATGAGATTTAATAGGATAAGATGCTATCTTGAAGAGATAAAGGTAGGCAAAAGATATGCTAGATTCCTATTAGAGACAAATCAATTCTAACATAAATAGGGAAGTCCAAAAAATTCTAATGATCTTTTTTTAGGAAATTAAATAGGAGAGTAAGTAGTGACTAGTGGTTAACTATCCAACAATTGAATCATTTAGGTGCTAATCTTAGAAGAACAACTTGCAAAAACAATTTAGTTTCAAAAAGGAAAATGGGCACAAGAGTTTTTAGGAGAGTAATATACCAAATAACAGAGATTAAAAATATATATCAAGTGGCCCAATAAATCACTCTAGCAAATAGATATGAGATATCTCCATTTTTATTTCTTAAGTTTTGATCACTAAAATCCAGGAATATTATGAGAAAGAAGTTTCATTACTCCAATGTTAATCAAATACTAATGCAGCAGTTCAATGAAAAAGAGATGCAAATCCAAAATTTTCTCATTTGAAACTTTAATCAAGTAGTATCATTTTTTTTTGAACTTCAATATGATATTAATTCTTGCAATTCCTTTTTTTTTCTTTTAGCCGACAATTTGAACAAAACTAAATAACAAAAGGGTAGATTTAATAATAGGAATTTAGAACCTAAAAATGTTCAAATGCCTATAATGATCATAAAAGTTAATAAAACATGCCACTATAATTTGGAGAATAATTTCCCAAAATAAGAAGAGATTTAAATAATTCACTAAATCATCATTTTTATAAATGGCTATTTGTGGCTTATCAACAATCCAGCAACTAAAAGGTAGGATTCACATGCAACTTTTTTTTTTAGTGATCTAAAGGAAATTTATTTTCCAATCGTGAATCAAATGGGTAACAAAGGATAATTTACTTTGAGGAG